CGAATAAAATATTGAGAGGGGCAGCATTTCGGCCAATACGCAAACGACTTCCGTCGAGACTGTTTTAAACATTTGGTCAGAAGCAGGAGCCAGGGTCGTTGTATTGTATTTAATTTATTTCTGATTCGTTACAGGTGCGTTGCCCTAGATCTCAAACCCCAACACCATATAATGTAATGATAGTGATAACTGTTTTGTAAATTAATCTAATAATATTATTTTTCAGTGCTAATGATTCAGCTGAGAAATTTCTTTTATAGTACCACAGAAAAAAGTTTTTATAAATATTATTAAAATGTTCTTCAAAATTCAGTTTACAATCGGAAAAGTCACCGAGATATTTAAAGATTTTAACATATTTAATTCTAATACCTTCATATTTTAATTCTGGTGGTTTAGCTGTTTTCTTCCACACTTTGGGTAAACAAGAAATTAGTTTATTGTAAGTTTAACCTCATCTTTTCTTTTCCAATCCATATTCTTTCATCTTCTACAGCAAATGAAAGCATCTTCTCTAATTTCGCAAAAGTGTTTCCACGAAATTACGTATAAAATGTCATCAGCATAACATAACATTTTTGCACCATTTAGACACTCTTTAGCAATCCATATATTACGGTGTTCCAGAGTAGTGGAGCAATGCAGAAACTCCGTGAACAATCTTTGTAAACCATTTTTTCAATATAAATATCCTTTTTTAAATATGTAACTTTCCTTTCGTTAACATAGAAAAATTAAAATCATTAAGAATTTTTAATCAAATTAAAATCATTAAGAATTAAATTCATTAAGAAAAATTCTATAAACATTTTTGGGTATCGTCAAATCTCTGAGGGTGGAGAGCAAGGATGTCCATTTAATAGAATCAAAGGCTGTCGAGACATCGAAGGAAACCATAGGTACATGGAATTCAGATTTTTGTGAGCTAATAATATAGACTTAAAAAAGAGCATTTTCACTAGAGCGGCCTGGTGTAAATCCGTATTGTTTCGTAGATACAAAATCCTTCTTTGATAAAAAGTAGTCCAGTCTATTTGTAAGTAACTTATCCAAAACTTTTCCACAAAATTTTAACGAAGATATAGTTCCGGTTGCCCTACTAACCTTTAGAATGTACAAAACTCTAGAAACTTTCCACACTTTAGGAAAATTACAAAAATCGAAATATTTACTATATAATAACTCAAAGAAATCGCAATATTTCTCAAATAAAATTTTTACCATATTGGCCGTGATCCTGGGGCACCATGTTATGCAATTTCTTAAACACGGTGCTAGGTTCCGCCAAATTAAACGGCAGATTACCTGAAGCGCATCAATCATTCTGCGACAAATCCACACCCAAAAACCAATCTTCAACAGAGCTACAGTCAAAGTTCCTATTAAAATAGCGCTTTCTATACTCAAAATTATTCGCATCAGTTAATACATTTTACTCTCATAAACCTTTCCGAGACACGTGTTTTACCACTAGTCGCACGAAGAAATCATCCATAATATTTTGCACTCTCAGCAAAGAATCCCATTTTACTCTGGCGTTTTACTATATTTATCAATTTCTTATTATGTATCTATTTCTTTTTTATATAGGACCTTCCTTTTTATATAAAATTTTCATCAATATTTTTAATCTGATACTGTTTTCTAAACGCGCGAATCCGTCCTTTTAATCTCTGCAATTCCGGTGCCCAACATAAAATACCATTCTTAGCTTTCCTCTATTTCCCAGGAACCTATTGGCTCTACCAACTATTATATTTTTCGATTTAACAAGAAAGCCATCAATCTAATTTTTCTATACAATATTTATTAGTTCCTTTCTCCTTTCTCAAATTCTTCATTTTCCCTAAACCTTTAACGTACCTTTCGAATGCTTGTATATCACGTGAAAATCTAATTTCTTCATCATATTCGACACATGTTTCACTCAAATTAAAAGAAATCTATTTATGATTCCTCATTGACTCCTCTTGTTCAATAACTAATTGCACAGACATTGAGGGCCTGCCAGAAGACCCTAAAATTAAATCTAACTATCCCCATCTTCAGAAATAAAAGTAGGCAACGAGTTGGAGTCATTTATAGAGAATCAAATTATTCCATAAAATGAAATCAAAAGTTAAAATTCCCCTTAGGTTAATACTCCCCGCTCCCCGGTATAAATACTTAGAGTTAAAATCTTCCAATTCAAGAAAATGATTATAACATTTAACAAAATCTCCCAATTTCATTAAATTTTCAAACAAATCCTCCACTGGAGAGAAATATATAGAAAAACTTCCCATAAATTCATTCTCGACGGAAACTGAAAGTGAAACAATTGTACCTGAAATCAAATCTGCCGTAAATCTAATATTTTCATTGGCAAGCACAACAGCATATCTATCTCCATTCATCATTACCTCTCTAACGCTTTTTCAAATAGACAAATTTATTTTTCATATGATTTGTTTCCTGTACAGTTAACACATCATAAATCTCGCCCAATAATTTCTCTATATTTGGCAGCTGGCATGCCGCAGCTGAACAGTGATTAAGATTAATATTTAATACCTTCATGCGAATAAAACACAAATTCAAATAATACAATAGACATATTTACAAAATTTAAAATCCGAAAGAGGAAATACCATAAAAATACTAAAAAGAATAGAAGCCACGGAGGGAAAACGTTTCTCATGTTCAGAAATGAGATTCTGAATTACACCTCTACCTTTTCGAAAAGAACTGCCATGAAAAGAACAGAAAACATTTTCCACTTTCATCACCGTTTCCATCCAAACTGGTGATGGTACAGTTAGGCCTCCCTTAGATAATACAAATATCCAATTTGAGTCGTTAGGAATATCTATGAATTTTTTTTATATTTCTCTCAAAGTAGGATCTTTATCTTTCACGCGATATGCAGTATAACCTGCCACATAAGCGAGCGATTCTCCTTCATATGCCGATACATCTTTCGTTGAATCATAAATTTCGGTTTCCCAAGGAAGCGACGTACATTCATCATAGATGTCTTCTTAATTAATTGAATCATCTTCGTATGAGGAAGACTAAAAAATTTTCATCTGAAGAAAAAGCTGTTTCTAACAGCTGTTTTGTCAAATATTCTTCACAGTCATTAGCATTTGCCTTTAACGACAATCTAGGCAATTTGTTTGCCAATAGCAACCTTTACAAGCGAATTATTACGTCTGATGGAGACGGATGGTCATTAACCCCGATCTGGCTGAACAAGCTTTCTAATAATCTTGTTCAGTCTTGATTAAATTATTCACATTTATCATTTTCTTGGTTAAATAAACCGAAAAGCGAATTTATTGATATATAATACATTTCTGAAAAGTACATTGTCTTCTTTCCGCATACTCTGAGATCAAAAATCATTTGCTTAATCTATTTAATTTTTTTTCTGTACTTCTAGCTTCACCGAAAGACTTTTAAGGCTTATTGCTAGGGGTTAATGGTACCACTATTCTATGTCAAAAAAAATCAGCACCATTGAAAAAAATTACTTGTACAGCATTACCATCAATGCATAATCTTAGCGTTGTGGAAATATGCTTTTGCTGGTGCTACTTTGTCCTCGTTCCCTTTTACATAGAATGTGTTTAGTTTAAGCACATTTAATTTCTCCGATATCTTTATTGAGTACTTCAATATAACGTCTTTTTAATTGTACCTTTCCGAGATAAACCTTATCAAGAAATGGTTCTCAAAAGCTTTGCAAGGATCATATCAGCGAAAACCCATATTTTGGTGCTGAACTTGGACTGTAAAGGAAAGGTTCAATTGTTGAAATTTTGTAATTCTTTCCAAATCTGACTGCTCCCATGTCAGATACAATTGCTTTGACTCTAAGCCCAGACGATTCAAGTGCAAACAAAATGGAAGACAGAAGATTTTCCTTCATTGACGATTAAATCAAAAAAAGGCTGTTTCCATTGCGAAATGAGTCCTCGAACCAATACAAATTGAGTCGTTTTAAAAGGACCTAATATCTGATCTAATTTTGAATCATAACAAGTCTAAATATTCAATTTCATCGAAACTTAATACTCATAATCTTTCTTCGTCAGTTGCATTGGAACGTTTTTTTTTTTTATCAATACAGTACATCATTTAAAACTGCCAGGAATGCAAAGAATTTGAGCACCATCTTTTCAGTGTACTTGCACTTGGAAGCGGAATACCCATTTTTTCTTTCCAGAATAGTATGAATTACGGATAACGATCTGATTACTATGCTTTTTGAAATGTCGTCTGGAGACCATTTAATTCGCTTTTTTTCATTATGCATTTATTTCAGTTTCGGTAAATATGTTTTGAATATACGTTTTCCTTTTTCTTAGTTTTCATTTTTGATTCCTTTTTAATTTCTTTCCTCAGTTTCTGAACTTTATCTAATATTAGTTTTCTATTCCTTTTAAATCTTTTTCTTTGCTGGGAGAAGTTTTTAATGCTGCTTTCTCAGTCTGTAAAACAGAAACCTTATTCTCAAGAGCTGATAGCTTGTGATTAAATTATCACATTTTTCTGGAGGTTGGAACAGTTACACCATTGCTGGTAATTTATTTCAGTGACTCCTCATAGCTATTGTTGTTATCAATTTAAGTTCCAGACATGCCTTCTTAGGACTTAATTCTGAATTCTTCAAATGCACTTTGTAAATTTTTTTCTTTTTTGTTGCCTTTGCTGCCGTGGTGTATTCTGATAAATAACCAAGTCAGGAATACAAGCAGCTGGTATAGCAGTTGACTTCAGTATCTTTTTTGTCGGTAATCCTAACAACATATTTTTCATATCATCCTCATAATCAGATTCAGTGAAGTAATTGCTGCATATTCGAGCACTTCTTGTGTTAACAATATCCGCTCTTCGACACCTATGCAACCATTTTTCGTTAACTGAATATTTTTGTACGGAAATCTATGAATACCACGTTAGTTTCTTTCGTATTATGATACGTAGCTACAGGTAGCAACGGCACACGATACCATTTTTTCAATAATTTTCATTACAAGAACTTTCTATACAAATCCCTTTAAAAGTATCATCAGTTATAACTTTCAAGTAAAAAAAAAAATAAAAATAAAAATAATAATAAAAAAAAAAAAAAAAAAAAAACTCTTTCTCTGAAACTAACAGGGCTAAAGAAAGAGAATCCAAGAACTAAAGATTCAATCTTTCCACTTGATGCTCTGGTCAGTCGACGACGGGACGAACCCAGTGACGTCATATAACATCCGGTATGCTCCCCAAGAGGGGTTCGTGTCGGCATCGTTATTCTCAAAGGGATGACCCAGCCCTTCTCTTTCTTTAGCCCTAGGTTTGGTCGCCGCCGTACCTTTTACCATCTCACATGACCTCAGCGAATTATCGGATCATTCTTGAGCACGTTTTTCCGTGGCTTACTTGATGTAAGCATATTTGATGTAAGTGGGCTGGTTTTTGGCCTCCACGTTCACCTGATTTACGGAGCCTTGATTTTATTTGTGAGAATCCCCCAAAGCTATAATTTATCACGATCCTCTGAAGTCTGAAATGGATGCTGTGGCAAGACACGTCTGCGCTGCTTGCTATAATCAAAGAAACTCCTGGTGTGTTCAACCATGTCCGGCAATCAATGTTCCGTCGGTTTCAAGCATGCTTTACGTCTGATCGGGCAAACTTCAGGCATCTCTTGTAACATTAGAGCTGTATTCCTCTCATATGCCATTTGTACACATGATGTCCAATAATTTTTTTAAATTAATCACTGTCTAGTGTCCTTTCCGATTTACCTTTGATCCCACTTTTCCCTGAAGTTTTCTGTCATGGGTTGCTATGCAATCCATATGATGTGCCCTACCTGCTCTAAAATGTATCGCTTTATTTTTAAGATACCCTGTATATGCATTCCGTTTGGTCATGATTCAATCGAATTAATTTTCTCCTTCTTTAGGCATCTTAAAAAAGAAAGAGCTAAAGTACCGCGTTTTCTGAAATACAAAGTTTTTATAACATATCCAGTAATGACGTCCGTACGTATGATGAAACGTTTATATGAAGAAAATATCGTGTTATAATGTTCGAAAATTTTGGAAGAATTCGTGGATCATTATACATCTTTATAAACACAAATGTGAAGCCTTCATTTAATTTACATAAGCGACACATTTCTTAATAATATGAAATGCAGAAAATAATTGTTGTTTTATGCATAACTAAACTATTTTGGTTCTGCTTGTGGTAATTTACGCAGACAGGCGAACTGGCATTATAATCTTTTGTTATGATTTCCCTAGTATGTATAGATGATCATTGTCTAAAGGTTCATATTATTTACAAGCAAGAAATTAAAGATTACATTACTTAGGAATTGACTCTGAAATGCAATAATTGAACTTTTGAAAGTTTTAGAAAACCTACATATATCGTTCTGCTTTCGTCTTTCGTAATTCCGTTCTTATGCAGTAAAAGCATTTCAGGTTTTCCGAAAGTGATGTTTACATTTCCTGATTTTTGTCACTTTGCAAGTTATATCATAATTTGTAACACTGGTGTCTTTATAAATTAAATAAAACGGGTCAGTTCGTCTGGTTTATCTTTTTTAATTGCAAGTATAAAAACGAAATTACGACGATAAAAAAGAAATTATATATGGAAAAATGTGAAAAATACCCTTACTTACAAAGCAAAACTCTTGATCATTTCGTATATTGGCTATTTCTTCTTTTTGATTTCCCACCTAATTTGGGTATCAATATTTGAAACAGGTGATGTGATATTTGGAAAACACTACCACAATACACCAGCAACGTACAAGTTAGAATGACGCTGCTTCTAATTCCTGTGGTTTTAAGGATAAGCCATCAAAGTGCTGGTAAGGAAAGTTCTTGTTCGATTTCAGTCTGAAAGCAAGGAATTTTTTTTTTCCGGTTCAAGGTATTTTTAATGTTCAAAACTTTATCCAAAAAAGGAAGTGTTCATCCATGATAAAAAAGTGGCATTTAGAATAAGGTACCTAAGTAATTAAAAATTCTTTTAGGCGATAAGGTATTAATTTTAATATCATCATGAGCTAAATAAATACGAAAATGTTATTTGTGCAACATAAAGTATAAACATTTGCTTAATATTCCAAGAAAAAATAGCAATAAAGTTCTATGTACTGTGACTGGAATCAAATATAATATGGATTATTTCCCATCAATGTAATTTAACTGTAGAACCTACTTAAATTTGAGGTAGAAATATTAAATATGATAACAAAATTTAACTTGATTTATAGTGCAAAAATTAATTAATAATTCAAATAAACATATCAGAAGAAAAATTGGTCAGACACTTACTTGACTGTAAGGCACTAAGTTGCTGATAATCTGAGTTTTGATTCTGAGAACTCATTCTGATGATTAAATTCGATACTCACTGCTTTTAATGTTAAATCTAAAGTCTTTTGGATTTTGGCTTATATACAATATATTATCTTGTTATTAATGCCTTGTTCTAAATATGAGTGTATGTCTGCTAATGTTTAACACCTGTATATTTTTTAAATTTTAGCATTGCAGTTCTGTTGAAATGAAATGATATTATCGAAACAAATGAATTATTAAAAAATATGCTGCAATAAATAATTTTTTTTTTCATTATTAAACCAAGAATTACAGCAGTCTTATTACAACATTTGTGATTCGTTGCATTTAGAATTAATATAGCTCTAAGTTTTGCAAATATTTTGTCTTTTAGGGCAGGATCCTGTCATCCTACTAAAGTACGCTGGGCTCCTGATGTTGGTTGCGAAGGTGACAGAGATGCTGTTTGGCTCTGATGGTAACTTATTACTTCTCCGAATCCACTCGCAAGTCTTGGAGATTGATTGTGCCAAAACATGTTTCAAAATTTATTTGTGTCTCCTTCTTTATGACTACAAAATCAGAAACACTACTGAGGAACAATGTCTATGAAATGCGTGTCTTAGCTCTGAATTTTCATAAATACAAGGCTGGTAAATTAATTCTCTCAAGGCTGATTGCGTAAAATTAATAGAACGACCATCCTATACTAAGTAACTGGAATTCGGTGAAGTGATAATGTAGACCTACTGATTGCAGTAACTGAACAACGTTTCCACTTACCATTGGTTACAAATAATAAACTTGAGTTTCAGGAAGTGGGAACACATTAGTATTACCTTTAATGTTATTATCTATGTATATTCGTGCATATTAAAAAATACTGTGTTTTGTACTCAAAGAAAAGCCGGTTTTCACGACTAATTCATTTCTTTCTCAAACGCCTTTTGATATGACGGCATTTTTTATTATATCCATAATAAACACTCAAGAGATTCTGAATACTATTTCATTAAAGTTATGAAATCAACGTTTGGAAATCCCGCTGTTTCCTGACAGAGGACTCCAATGTACAGTTGCTTTCGCTTATAAAAGGAACCAGATGCGAAGAAGAAATATGTTATTTACTGGTTTTACATAGGAAGGATTTTGGTAGCTCAACTATTGAAATATCACAGAATATTAAACATTTCCTTTAACCACAATATTTTCTTCGATATTGATATAATGTATGTCTGGACAGTATATAATGAATGTGAATGTATTTACATCGTTTTAAATATGGAATATAAGTCATGCGTCATTCTAGAACTGAAAGAAAAATTTGCACTAACCAACTAGTGATTGTGCCAACAAAACTCACTGTTATTTTAACTTTGGATAATATAAGCGGTATATTTAGCTTATTATGTGAAATTACTTACCAAGCATTGTAATGGATGTTAAAGTATTCACTTCACTTATTTCTTTTGATGTACAAACAATCACGTAATTAAAAGGCTCAATGACTTCGCATGTTTGATCCTTTATTTCCTTATCTATCTATCTATTTATGTACAGTATATATTCCTGAACTCTTAGATATTCTTCAGGATAAAATTCGTCTGGGAAAAAACATCATAAAATTGTGGAAATTTAGGTATGTGTCTGGAAATTATAATATATTTAGAGCATCGTATAATATATTTAGAGCAATAGTGTCAAAATAATTTTCTTTAATTACTTCAGAATTCTTATATTTCAATTATTGTCTTCAATATTATTTGAAATAGCAGTCGTTTAGAGTAGTATTAAATATCAAGTTAGAGATAAGTTTAACAAGAAGCTGAAAAAACATTTCCAAAGATTCTTTACAAGAAAATAATAATTTCTTACTTTATGAAGCGTCTTTTGATACGATGAACTTTTTATTATGTTGTTTGCGTACGGGCTGTAACAGGTTGAACGCACACAGATCCAATGTAAGGTTAGTAAAATTAATTTTTATCAAATAAAATACTTCAAAGTTCTGAAATTTTCCGCAGAAATAGTCGTACAGATGTTCACAGTATCACAAAGTACAATCAGTAGTTCTACTTTTAAACTACTAAGAACGTTCAACACAACGCAGTATAAAACGCACTTAAAGACTTGGAGATATCTCAGCTCAAGCTGAACTGACAGCTCGCTACAACAATAACTGAGAGCAATGTCTCTGGCCTTATATCGTTTTCAACTGACCGCCGAGATATTTCTATCACCTTTTTGGTTCTCTAAATTACTGCAAAGTAATATGAGGGTCAAATTACGGTTGCAGCTAATATAGTGATCAGTTACATTTATTCAGTTACAATACCTACTACGGTCATACAAGAACAGGACCAAAATGACCACGTTTGGCGACTTTTGGGGATTTCTCGCGAAATTTGGCCACGAAATAAGTCATCAAAAACGTTGTAAGCTTGGCGATATCTCCCCAAATTACCGAGATACCCATTTACTCAATTTTAAGTGCACTTGCTTCTGTATTCTTACTTTTCCGGCATAGTTTGCCTCTTTTAGATTTTTGTTATGTTACATTATACAGAAAAATAAAACAATTTCACATATAATTACACTAAAATCATCTACCTATATACAAAATCTGTAAGCATTGCTTCCTTCCCAAGGTCTGCACGTATCTATATACAAAATCTGTAAGCATTGCTCCCTTCCCAAAGTCTGCACGTCCCGGCAGGACGATCTGTGGAGAGGACGCCATATTTACAACTAAGGCAAATCAGTGAAACGCCAAGTCAATAAGTTCAGTATATAACAAATCAAATAGTTAAATTAATAACTGAGTGCATAAACTTACAAATTTAAAAACAAATAAGACCATGGTCTTATACTATTTACATTATATGTACTACGTACTATTCCACAGACGTTTAGGGCTGATAGACGTTTAGGGCTTCTACAGTCTTTAACTGCTAACACTTTTTCTGGATCTGTACACACGCCTTCGACAGGGATGACATGTCTGAGATAAATCACTTCCTATCTGAATAGTTTACATTTAGCGGGACGCAACTTTAGATTGACTTCTTTAAGCCCCTCAAAACACTCTCCACGAGGCGTTCGAATACTGCCGGACCATTACATAGTCCAAACTGCATCACCTTGAACTACCAAAGTCTCTATCTGCTACTAAAAGCCGTCTTATCTCGGTCATCAGAATATGTCTCTACCTGCCAATATCCACTCTTTATATCAGGAGTCGAAACCTACTTGCTTTTGGAAAGAGTGTCCAGAATGTCATCAATTCTAGGAAGAGGGTAGCTGTTTTTGTTCGTAATCTCGTTCAACCAGTGATAGTCAAACCAAAATCTAGTTGAATTGACTTTCTTTCTGACCAGGACGATGGGAGATGCTCATGGTGTTCTTGAAGTCTCGATGACATCGCTTTCTTGCATGTCCTTTATAAGTTTTCCTACCTCTTCTTGTTTAGCAATCGGTGGACGTTTTGGATGTTGCTTGTTTGATGGTTAATCCCCGGTCCAAGTCGGAAGACAAGCAGAAGGAAACATCTTGAAATTCTTGAATGACACTTTCGACGGAAATCACCTCCTCTACTTATTCCTTGACAGAAAAAAAGTTTTCTACAGTTTGTCGAAATATAATTTAACCACGTCTTATACCAATACCTATTACGGTGGTATTGGTATTGTACAATATCTATTACGGCGATACAAGGACCGGACCAAAATGTCACTAAATGGTGGAAAAGTTTGGCGACTTGCCTGTGCAAGTTGACGTATTTCGCAAAGTTTGGCCAAGTTGGCGATAAATATATTATAACCATTATTCGCAGTAAATGAAAGCTAAAATATTTAGAAATAGATATTAAATTAAAAATATGCGGGATAGTTTAGGTGAAAGGTACTATTTTTTAAGTAATAGTTAAATTTAAATTTACCTATGTAATGCTGTAACTAGGTAATTCAGGTAGTTAATGCAAGTTTTGAACATTTATGTAAATTCCTTAATGTAGCAGCTGTTTATACAAATGAAGGTGTCCGCAGATTTTTGATGATGAATTATTTAGATGCTTTCCATAAATGAACAGAGTACAGCCATTTAACACGTAATTTATTTTTAATTTATTTGAATTTTTTTTCGAATTAATTTTATTGTGGATTCCAAATTTAAAGTTAACTTTTAACACAGTTTGCTGAACTTTTTATGTTATTTACATAAAACACGCAGGCATATACACACGCAAATGATGCATACGCGTGGGACATGTACTGTGTTATTTACATTTTGAGTAAGTTAAATCGATTTACAAGCTAATGAATTAAAAATATTGCCTTCACATTTTGATGATCACGAGCTTTGACAAGCTGATCCCGAGCTGTATTCTCTATAACTTATCAAATAAATAAAGAACTTTGTGAAATAGTTAAAATAAAAAATAAATGTATTTTAACTCATGAAATATAGTCTCATAACGCAAAAAATAAATAAATAAAAATCAGTCAAGTGAATACAAAAATCAGTTCTTGTAGATTCAAGAATTATCAGAAGTTTAGATAATTCTTCGTTCCGTTGTTGTTGTTTGGTGTTGCTAATGCTCACTTGTCTGACAAATAGTGAAAGCAAACGCAAGAAATCCCTCGTGACAAGGAGTTTACGCCTGTTGTTGGCAACAGCCTTGAGCATCTTACAGGTGACAATGCGATTTAGCTCAGTTTCGCCCCCTCCCCCCAATTTTGATGCAGAGCACCCCGGGAGGACGTGTCTGAGGGTCTCCCACCCCTCTTCCCCTACCACTAACTACTCGAGATGACTTTCGGCTAGCTGCATATTTAGAGTGTCCCAATACCGCACGGACACTATACATTTACAAAAATCCATGCCTTCTCCGGGATTCGAACCCGAGCCTTTCGACACGGCAGTCAGCGACGCTAACCACTGTACCGGTTGGGCGACCGGCTGGATTGTTCCCCGTGGTATCATGCTTCGCTGCTCGTAATGCATACGCTAACTCATACACCCCGCTATCCCAGCGCTTATGATAATTTTCACGTAACAATGTATTATCTTTACTATATTCTTGTACACATGTTCAGGTATGAGAAATAGTTGTCTTGCCCTCATCATATTTTGTTGCCGCCAACGATGTCTTTTACTAAAAAGAAATGTCATCAATACAGTTCCGCGTACATGAAGTTTGAATTCGTTTCTTCGCCGTCGAACGTGCAATTGCCCATGTGTTTACTTCTTAACAGAGTGTTATCTAATGAGGCAATGAAACCATCTCGTTTGCAGGAGCATCTGCAAATAATTCATTCTGACAAACAAAATAAAGATTTTTCGTTTTTCACGAACATCAGGGACAAATTACTAAAAGCATCATCTATCTCAGGTCAACTAGTAGCGTCATTAAAACAATGCGACTGGTTTGACTGTGGTGGCAGAATTATTTGAATTATGTCTTCATCCGGCCTCCTGCCGTGCGATAAATTAAAAATTTGGAATTCTCGCAAGCTATTAGTCGTCAATATATCGTTGATATCCGTCAATTCCTCGATTTTAAACTGAACATTGCTAAATAGCTCCGAATCGAAGCTGGCTCTATCCTTTACGATGGGGAACGCTTTTATTAAAGCCTGCTTAAATTTCTCTAAGTTGTAGCTTTTGTTACCAGCCTCACACAAGGCAACTTTACCGATACATTAATAACACGTAGAAGCCTGGCCTCTAATGGTGGATGTGACAATGATAACTTTGCGCGCTTCTTGCACCGGATGCAGCAGAAAATGTGAATTTAACTGTTCAATAAAATTTGGGACTGAGATCGTTCCATCAAGAATTGCTGCTGGTTTCATAGCAGCTCTGAGTTTTTTAACAATAAATCCGAATCTCTCCGTGGCATTCACTGTGTCTGACGGGGATAGCAAAGCTTAGGGCAAAATGCTATAAGGTGAAGTTTCCTGAGACATATTTCTTATTGTTTGAGCGCCAGCATAGAATCTCGTATTCTTGATAACATAAACTCAAGAGCTGTAGAAAGACTGTAGAGGAATTATCTTCGTGTCTACTTCGCAGAAGCCGGCGAGACAAGCCTAATGGTAGCCTACAGAATCATATCAGTAGTGAGTCACGGTAACAAAGTGGCCTCAAACAGACAGAACACGCTCTAAAATCAATTTGTGAATCCTTCGCCTAAATAGCATTTTATTCTCTGTTCATCTGAATAACCAGGCGCTATTTAATTTTCATTCTGGCATGAAAAGCTTGGGGGGAAAAGGAGACCGACAGGAAAGTTGCTGGAACTCAAAATGAACTATTAGTTGAAATAAATCCTCACAACGTTATAAAATTTGCCCAACTCCTGCAAGAAACACAGTTAAAGTGGTAAAGAAGTACGAACACAAAAATGTCTCGTTCGCTTATATTCTTTCTAAACCACAGCTTCGAAGCCACGCACGTGTAGGCTTATATTCGACTCTGAATATTTACATAATTCTTTGGTTCAATATCTTTAGTAAAAAAGGGAAATAAT